CACACACACACACACACACACACACACATACATACATACATACATACATACATACATACATACATACATACATACATACATACATACATACATACATACATAGAAAGCAACATGACTAATATACTATGAGCAAATTTGGCCAGACATGAAATTTAAGGCTAGACAAGCGTATGTGACTTATGACTTCAGAAATGATGATGAATAATAATACTGGATGTTTTGTTCTTGAGGCATGTATATGGAAATATCAAATATGTGTGAACTATAAGAGAGATTATGCTGACAAGATTAGACATACAGTTTTCTGTTTATAAGAATGGAGATCATCGAGGAATGAACAGGCCTGTGTGGCTATTATGGTGGATAAGTAATTTTAAAGAGGAAATGAGGAATGTTTATGATGAGAGTTAGATGGATGGAAATGCAGATGAGAGAATTTACAAAATTTATTATAAATTTAGGATGTTAGATACTTAATTAGATATACGACATAGGGATGTGGAAGATAACATGTGTAGATGCACACGGATATATTATTTCTGTAGTCAGAATTTACGTAATAGATAAGCTGGTATGGGAAACACCTCCCCGCCTGTATGTTTTGTTAGTCTTGTATGTTTTGTTAGTTTTATGTGTTATTGTTTTGTAGGTATTTCTGGTTTTTGTAGGTATGTATGTTATTAAAAATAATAAAATGTTAAAAAAAAATAAGGCTGAGGGCATTACTGTATTTTATTTTGCAAGCCAGAGAATGCCCTATGCTACATTTGATGGAGACATATTAAATTGAAGCATTAGGGTGTTTTCAGTAAAGGTGTAGTTTATGGGTCTATGTTGAACACTGTGGAAGCACATTAGTCTGAAAGCTGTAATACTGGTTTGACAAAGCAACCTGGAATGCAATTAAATGTATGGTTGAATTAATGCCTTTGGTAAAATTGCCACTGCCTAAATTGGATTTTTATGGATTCATGAACATGTCTCATCATATTCCTCTTATGACTTGAAATATGTAGCTATGTTGCCCTGCACGATAGGTCATTATCAGTAGGTGTACTCTATGACTGACAAGTCTGGATCTAACTCATTATGTTAAATACTGACCTCCCAGCACTGTTCCTAAACAAATCACTTTGAATGAAGAATGTACCTGTATTAATCATTATGTAGCACTCCACATAAATCCTCTGTCTTTGTCACCACAGTCCTAAACAGGTTTACATTGAAGCATGCTGAGGAAACTGGGATTTATTCCCAAGTAGATACGTTTAGGATTGCAGCCCTGTCGATAAATCCTGAGAAGCTCCTGGTTGAGACAGAATTTTACTAGTAAATAGAACACATTGTATCAGCAGCTACTTTTGAATTCCTCTGCCTTTGCCTCTCCTAGTTCATTTAAAATTCTATAAAATAGCAGAATAACGATTACATACCAAATTGGTATAGAAAATAGGCAAACAAGGAATTATGCATTAGTATAGAAACTAAGTAACCACAAGTATTTGCTTTTTCTGAATTCTGTCACCTGAAATCTAAAGTCTAGAAATGAGAAATGATGTGAGCTGGCTGAAAGACATGTGCGTACAGGCCTCAAACACTTGCTCTAGTATCTGACACTGAACTATGGGGGACTGAAATGGGTGTGTGTTCTATTCTCCCCCATCAAACATATAGTGGTCATGATCTGGCTAAAAGTAGGAACTGTGTGATGTTATGAGTTTCACTGGCACCCTCCTAGCTTCTCTCCTGTAATTTGAGTTTTGCCTGGTTAAAAAAAAATAGTGCTGGTGGAATTTCAAAACACATCACATATAGCTGTTTTGTCATATTAACTGATTAGCCCATCTGTTTAGAATTATCAGGCAGAATCATGTGAAGGAAACACAGAGTTTAATGTACCATAGATGTAGCACTCTGCATTATCTCTAGCTTGCAGATGTGCACTCTGGAGATCACTTCATTGAAAGAAATGGTGCTTCTATGCTTGCATAAATGCGGAAAAAACCCAAATATGGACTACTGTTTGTGTATGGTAAAAGAAGAGCATTTGACCCATCAGCTCTTGAAATAATCAGTTCTGGTATCTGTGTATGGCCTCTTTGTTTAAGCAAGAGGCAGTTGAGTGGGCCCTAACCTTTGTGCCAGTCTGCAGGTATAGTTCTGCATGTTTGGATAGACTAAGAATGGAGACCAAACATTCTTTTAATCTTTTAATCTTTTTTATGTTTTCATGTTTTAATATTTTTAATTGTATTTTAAAACATATATTGTTTAATTTATCTTTTAATATTTAACTTACTGTGTTTTTTAATTGTGTGAATTTTAATCTTGTGAGCCGCTTTGGGTCCCTTGTTAGGAGAAATGCAACATATAAATAAAACTAATAATACTACTACTAATACATTTGGGTACTACTACTACTACTACTACTACTACTACTACTACTACTACTACTACTACTACTACTACTTTTTCCTTTTTCATGCGAAGCATCAGTAGGATTTAGAAGATGGTATGGAAGTACTCTTATTTATTTATTTTATTTATTGGACTTGTATACCGCCCCATAGCGCTACAAGCACTCTCCGGGCGGTTTACAATTTAATTATACAGGCTACACATTGCCCCCCCAGCAAGCTAATAATAATAATAATATGCTTCTGTATTGTATGTGTTTTAGAAGGTGTGGAAGGCTTGAGTGGATTCAGTCCCAAATTCTGATTTAAATTTTGCATGGACTTCCTTTTTTAGATGGGCTAAATTTAATTGTTAAAGCCAGGCTACATTAAAATGCTAAGATCAGATGTGAACTCATGTCTTTGTTAATGGCCAATTTATTTGTTTGTTTGTTTTATTCTATTCTATACCATATATTTATTTATTCATTCTATTCTATGCAAGAGCAATAATGGGGTGTTTGATTAATTAATTAATTAATTTACATTCAAAGACCAAACAAATTTAACAATAAAAGAATAAAACGATGCAAAGGACGCAACATATACCAGACAACAGCTCCCAAAGGATATAAAATTTATGTCAGAGTTTATATTGAGTTTATGTTGGAATTATCCAACCCTTTTGGGGAGGGAGAAATCACTAGATAGCAACACTCCTATTATTTCTCTTAAGGAACTTGCAGGAAATAACAACAGTTATTCTGTTATTCTCAACATCAGTTATTCAGTTATTCTCAATATCAAGCCAGAGAAATGTTCAGTGCCAAGAGAATATATAGTTAAGGTTGGTTTTCCAACTTTGACAATTTTAAATAAAACTGATTATCTAACTTAAATTTGGATACAGGCACTGAAATAACTTTTTCGCTCCAGTAAAATAATCTGCAAAGGAAGAAGGACAGCAAGAGTGTAGTTTTGTTTGCTTTTTGCAGCATAGCTATGCTGCCCATATCATAATTGTAGACGATCAGTCTGGGATGAAGAAAGAAAATACTTTGGGAAGTTCTGATCTTCCCACATAAGCAAATTCTAAAAGAGCTGACAGATTAGTTTGCCATAGTCTGTGTGTCTTTAAAGTTTTATTTTATTCCCCCATGACAGCATCAAGATCAAGTTACTTAGTGAGATTGTTGAACTAATGATAACCAGATCATCAGTACATCCTTTACATATTATTCTGATGAGACAATGTAGATTGGAACCACTAATGAACTGGATAAAGGCTAGTAAATTTAAATTGCTGTTAGTTGGTCTCTGGAGATGTTTTACTGACTTTGGATAGGATACATATTGTACCTTGTACAGTACTAGGTTGGAAGTAACTTTGGGATTTTTTAGTTCTCCATAAGCCTTATTTGGGATATTGAAGAAGCGTACATAACACGAAGCTTATTTCAACAACGTAGGCTTCTATAATTAAGCACAGACACTCTAAAATGAAGATATCCGGGTTGTAGTGCATATTCTGTGTGGGGCTAATCTTAATACAGTAGTTCAGGATCCTAACCTGGTTCAGAAGAAAATTCTATCGTCAGACATTTGATTGGGGACTGTTGTTCCAACCATACTATCCTCATAAGATCTGCACCATAATTCTATGCGTTTGGGGGGCTAATTGTAATACTTTGAAGCCTTAAATTACCTGAAAGCAGATCATGTTTAAGGATGTTCCTAATGTGGCTGAAATGCGAAATCTGCAGTAGAAGTCCTTATTTTCAGGATCCAGGATGAGACCCAGGAGAATGGCAACCAGTAATTTCCCAGTGGTGGGACTATGGAATACACTTCCTTAATAAAGAAGTGAAGCACCAACCTATTTATAATTTTGTGGAAATGTTAGAAAAAATTAAAAGATAAAAATATAAAGGATTATCTTAAATCTTCTAGCGTGTCTGCTCTAAACTTCTCCCTTTAAGTTTTAAGCGATTTTATAATATTTATAGTCTTTGTATAAGGGGAAATGGCCTATAACAGGTTAAAGCGAGGAAGTATATCTTGGGATTTTTTAATAAATATCTGGCTGCCTTTGAGGAAATTTGGAATAGAAAAAGTGAAAGCGGATGCCTAGTTACAAGAATCTAAGTCGGGGGAAATCAAATTGCTTCATGCCCTGTGTATGTTTTCGATGTGATCTTTTAAAACAGTTACATTGCTTAAACCACCTCCGTGATTAAAGCTACTTTACAGCACTTGGACAGTGCAATTCTTGAGTTCAGTTACTTTCTGTTGAGGAGGGTGCATTGCTTACTAACGGAGAAGCAAGAAATGTAATTCAGTGGGATTTTCTTTTAGAATTTTTGGACGAATTCGACATGAATAAGATCGGCGTGCATAACTAGGTCACAGGAAGTAAGTCTCACTCAATACAATGAGAATCGAGTCGATCGTGGTATTTATTCAGCATGCCAACTTAAGGTGCAACACCCGAGCACCAAGCAGCCTACTACCCATTGCACAGTCCGAGGCACCAAACTTAATGTGATGCGGTCTTGCCTAGAGAGTGCTAAGGCCGGTTTCCCTCCTGCTCTGAAACGGACACCATCGCACTTCAGCGGAGCCCGAGCGCAGGCAACAGTTCGCTCTTCCCCCTTTCATCTTGGCAGCGGAGTCGCCTCGGTTCACTGCAACCAGCACCGACACGGTCCCAAGAGAGTAAAAAATGCTGTTGCTACGTGCGGTGACGTCATCGCCCCATTTGAGTATCTTTTTCAATGATTGGTTAAAGATGAGAACAGCGCGGCGGAGCTTTGCTTGCTATTGGCTAGGCGGAAGGGGGCAGGGCCGAGGGCGCTCGGAGGCCTTGTCCTACGGGTGCCCGCGTAGTTATTGTCTGGAGGTTTTTAGGCCTCTGAGCGGCTGGGATTTGGCAGCGGTTGGGCCTTGAGGGCTTTCCACTCTGCTTCTTGTTACCAGTGTGGGACCCACTTCTGGGGGCAAGAAACGCCTCCGTTTGGCTGCGGTGCGGAGGAAGTCTCCGAACCGGCTCTGACGACGCTGCCGCCCAACCTTTTTCGAGAGTGGCGCCAGAACAGAGAGAAAATAACATTACATTAAACAAATCCGCGACGCTTTCTGGGCCCTCTTGGGACAGTGTTTAGTCGCTCGTTTCAGGCGGTGGGCGTCATAAAATACATGCGATATATAAAACATCCCCCCTCAAGCTTGACATAAAGCATCTATGGCCGCAACGCGCAATTTAGAAGACAGGAGGAGCGGCAGAAAAAGCTATACGCGAGAACGCGCGCGTTGTAGGAGTGTGAAGGGAACTGTGTATGTGTGTGTGCGCGCGCGCGCACGGGCGGGCTGAGCCGAGAAAGGGGAGGGGGGCCCCCGCTCGCCGTGGCTCGCGCCGAGTCGACGTGTGTGCGCGCCCGCGCCGCACAAGGCAGAGCGAGGGTCTCTGAAGCAAGGGAGGGGGGGATGGTGGTCTCGTTGTGCGAAGGGGTGTGCACGCGCATTAGCGTGAGGGGAACCTTGGGGCCCGCTTGAGAGCGAGTATCTGTGTGTGTGTGTTTCTGTGTCTGCCTGTGTGGGCGCGTTCGCGCTGGGTAGGAATCTTTCTCTGTGGAGAAGGAAACCCCCACCGACCGCCCACCCCGAATCTGCGGTGCTTGAGGGAAAGGTGTGTGTGTGTGTGTGTGTCGGCCTGGGGTGGCCTTTTTCTCATCCCCTCCGTTTATTGTTTTTAAACCTTTTTATTTATAACTATTTATACTGAGGCGAGGGCCAAAACAATTGGTGCAAAATCAGGAGGAGGAGGTGGTGGTGGTGGCGGAGGCGGAGGCGGCGGCGGCGGCAGCGGGGGTCTAACCTGGGTGGTAAGTTGCCTGGTATTTGTCTCTTCTATTTCTTAATTCCCCGCTGCTGGTGCTTTTCTTAGCAGGCCTAGCCTGCAAACAGAAGCGGAAGGCCTCGGAGGGGAAATAATGGAGGAGCGAAGATGCCGGTTGGGATGGAGGATGGGGATGCGGGGTGAAAAAGGGAAGGTTGCTTCCTGGGAAAGGTGGCGAGGGCTGGTGGGTGGTGCAGGAAGGAGATTCCGGGAAAGGAAGGAAAGGGAAGGGAGGCGGTGGGACCGTGGCTTCGGTGACATGGGAAGCTCACATGCTGGATTTGGTGGAGTCGGACTGTGTGGCCTGCACGGCTTGATACTTCCCAGTGAAATGGAGGCGTGAGGCATCCACTCCTCGTGGTGCTTGCTGTAAGTGTGCTGGAGTTAAGACTCCATGCCTGGTTTGCTTGCGTTGGCCAGCTAAGAAAAGAGACTGGTGCCCCTCTTTCCTCTTTACTTAAAGCCTTGAGACAAATTGCAGGCTGCTTTGATGTGTTTTGCAACAAGCCAAGGGTGGGGTTAAAAAGAAGCTGTCTTCACAGCTGTTGTGGAGTTCAGTCCATACCTGAAGAAGGATTTGTTAGCTTTCAGAGAGCTGGTGCCTTTGTGTTCCAGCCTGTGCTCCTGTTTTTAATCTCCATCTCAACCTCAGCCTAACAAGTAAAAAACAAACAAACAAAAAAAGTAAAAATGAGAGGATGACAGCTTAGGTGTTGATGTAAAAAAATAAGGGGTATGTCTAGAGTTGAAAGTTAAGTAATTGTAGGCAGACATGTGCTGAAAGGGAAGAGGTGTGATTATTAAAAAATGTTCTTTTGGCCCAAGTATAAGAGATCTCATTTTCCTTCTTAAAAGACCCCTGGAGGGAAGAGAAAGTTGAATGGATACAGTTTCCTTAGCCAGTCACTAATTTACTTTTATCTCTCTTGTTCAGCAGAGAGTTCAAACTAGGGTCACTTTCTTGATGGAACTGGCAAGAATAGGAAACATGGCAGAATAGTGGCAAGACAGCAGTTTGGTTCTGGAAGGGGGTTAGCTGTTCTTGGGTTTTGGGTTTGTGATTTTTTTTAGATTAAGTGTTAACAAATATTGCTTCTCTAATTTTATTTGAATTTAGCTCTGCAAAAAAATTTACATTCCAATTTTTAAAAATCTCTATCTTGTAAAGGAAAGTGTTTCTTAGCTTTTCTATTCTTTTGTAAATTGAAAAAAGTAATGGATCTTATATGTGTCTTAGAATGTCTGTTTATCTGAAATGGCAGACATGCTTTAAAATAAAAGAGAATGAGATGACTTGACTATTCAGATATCTGGTATTAATTTGCTTATGTCTTATGTTGTCATTGTATTCTTCTGTGACAGCTGGCACAGTTACTTTCTGTACATATGCAGTTCATATTTGCAAAGAGAAAGCAAATTTAACATAGCTTTGACAGGCAGTAAGTTGGACCATATAAGTTGATCTGTGGGCAGGAAATGACTTCAGCATGCTGCCTCATGTGGCATCCCACTTCCTCATAAGCAGGTCAGATTCATGGGTATATATACCTTCTTGGCGTTTGGAATGATAGGCTTGAAGCAATAGGTCTGCCTGCTAAAATGAGATTCCAGCTTGGCATTCAGACTGTTGTTTTAAGAGGATATGGTCGAATACACTTTTTCCCAAAGTTTCATCTTTCATAAATAAATAAATAAATAAATAAATCTGTAGCGGGTAGAGGATCTGTGAACTTTACCTTTTTATAAAATCTTCAGAACAGGAACCTGAGCAAATAATCATGGTTCAATAAGTTGAAATCAGCTTCACGCGTTTCTCCATGACTATCTTCTTCTTTCTTAACATGACAAAGCAAGCTGGGAAACCATATTTAATATAGCTTCCTGTTGCATCTCAACTGTAAGATTATAGTAATTGATTTCCAAACAAACCAGGATATGAAGTCGTAGTTTAAAGTTGGCTTCTATATCCTGGCTTGCTTAAACCTGTTAACTATAAATATAGTAGGGAACTGGCAATGAACCAGTTCTAGCTTATCTGTATGCAGGACAGAGCAAAATGCTATGTGTGGGTTATGAAATTTTGTGTATCTTAGTTAAACTAATGTTTGGGTGTATGAACACAGGCACTGGTTTTAATTACTCTGTTTCTAACTTGCATTTTATAAAATGTATAGTGTATAGTGTAAGACAATTTTGACAATGTATGCAAATTGTAACATCTATTTTATTACTTTATTGCATAGTACAATTTTGACTAAGTTCTACAAAAATAAGTTACTTCACTTCACTTACTTTATATTTACCTCTTACCTCAGAGTTCCTGTTCTTTTTGCTTTCTGAATAGTCTTTCAAATGTATGGTTATATCCAACCTCTAATATATATATGTCACCTTTTTGCTTTTTAAAAAAATAAAGGTTACACAACCTGCTATTTTATTAAAATCTAATTGATGCCTTCTAGATGAGTACATCTCAGTCTCAGATGGAATATTTTAGTTATTGTAACATATGACAGTATTATTCCTGAAATTGACAGAAACTTGTCAGTATTGAAGTGTCCTTATGTGCTCTATAGTCACGTCTGGCTCATAGTGACCCTATGAATGAGTTGTCTCCAGAATGCCCTGTCTTCAACAGCCCTGCTCACTTCTTGCAAACTGAAGCCTGTGGCTTCCTTTATGGAGTGAATATATATTACATTTGGTATTATTCTTTTCTTGATGCCTTCAGCCTTTCCTAGCATTATGGTCTTTTCAAGAGTATCCTGTCTTCTCATGTTTTATGCAGAGTAAGACAGCTTCAGTTTTTATTTTTTTTATTTTTTTTATTTTTTGCTTACAGTGATAGTTCAGACATAATTTGCTCTTGAAACTAATTGTTCAAATTTCTGGTAGTCCAGGGTATCTAGAAAGCTCTTCTATAGCACCGTATTTCAAGCATTTTTTCCCTGACAGCCTCCTTAGTTGTCCAGCTTTCACACCCATACCTGGTGGTAAAAGATACAAGTGCGTGGATGATCTTGATCTTCATCTCCAATGACACATCTTTGCACTTGATGTGTCTGTCACTGGAGGCAAAATGAAACATCACTGTCACTTAGGGAAGTACTTAAACAAAAGTTAATCATTTTCAATACCACATACTTGAAGAAGACAGTTAAGTAAATTCTTATGAAAAATATCTTTCTAAAAGTCTTCCACTGAAATCAACGTAGTATAAAAAGTCCCAGACTTTGGCTAGGTTATACTATTTTTTTCTTGGAAATTGATTAGGGATGATCCAAAAAAAAACAACAACTTTTGATTACCTGTCTTTTCCTCATGGCCCTTCATCAGGATGATTCTTCATAGGGTTGCAGAAGACACTTTCTTTAGATTTGTGATCAGTGCTCACTGACTGATTTAAGAAGTGTATAAACTCATATTTTTAAACTGGCATATGATGTTTAACCTGTGTTCTTAAATCTGTACTTATTTGTACTTGATTTTAATGGTTTCTGTTGTAGGGTTGATTTTGCTTGAATTCAATGATTGTAAGGTTACATTTGGCTTTACACGGTTTTATTCTATCAAGTTTGTAAGCTGATGTGAATGCTACTAAGAAAGAAAGAAAGAAAGAAAGAAAGAAAGAAAGAAAGAAAGAAAGAAAGAAAGAAAGAAAGAAAGAAAGAAAGAGCAAGCATATCAGAAATTAAAGCTAACAAATACAGTGGACCCTTGACTTACAGATGGCTTGACTTACAGACTTTTTGAGTTACAGACTTCTCTGGCTGCAAAATTTAGGTTTGACTTGCAGACTGAGATTTGACTTACAGACCAGAAAAAAACCAAAATGGAACAAAAACGGCCTGTTATGGGATTAATCGGTTTTCAATGGACTGTAGGTCAATGGAGACTTGATTTACAGATTTTTTGACTTGAGAACGGACTTACAGACTTTTTGACTTCCAATACGGATTAAGTTCTCAAGTCAAGACCTCACTGTATAGAGAGAAAAATGTTGTGGTACCTTAAAATTTAACATATATTTTAATTTAAAATATAAGGTGCAACAATGTGTTTGACTCTTGGATTTTTGTTTGATTGTTTTGTTTTTCAGATATGCTTGCACAGACTAACAGCACTACTTCTCCATAAATAAAGCAGTATACTCTTGTCATGATTTACTTCCTAGCATATCTTCTACCAGAAATGTTCCCTGTACAGTATATCTCTCCCTACTTCCACCTGAAATCTACAGAAGATGTGATAATTGGTTCAGAATTATAAATGTTAATAATGCAACTTCTGAAAAATCTGAACAATGTGTATGTTGATCAGTGTGTTTTCAAAATAGGATTTTAAAAATACTTGGTGTGTATCGCTGACATGCACTGTATCTTAAAGAAACACTTTTAAATAAGTTGTGGAACTGGATAAAGTATTTCCTTTTGTTAGAAGTTTAAATTTGAAACTATTCTTACTTTATTTCCTCTTGTGGGCACTGTGTGAGTGAGTTGATCTATGTTTCCAAAGAGAGCTTCCTGCTAACATTTTTTGCAGTTCTTCTTGGTCTCTGTAAATCATGCAATGGGATTTGTCCTGGATTTGTTTTGAGACTGTTGGAACATTATAGAGCTTGAAAGAAAGTTTATTGGTCTGTGTTTAAAGGAGACGTTTCCATTTCTAGCATGTTAGAGAGATTGTGGTGACCGATGATACAATTTTTCTGTTAAAAAAAGTACAGGCCTTAAGTGTACAAATCTTAGCACATTTACTAATCTTGCATTTGCTAACAAAATTGTTGTTTTGCCATACTGAAAACACTTGAAGGTAGGCAACTTCTGCAAAACACAAAGACAGCTTTAGTTGTGTTTCATATGTGAGATCTGCTTTTTTCTGACTTTCTCATTTATGTGTACAAGTCTGAAACATCACATAAAGTGTATCTGTTGTACTGGAAATAGTGGTAAGAGTTAACAACGTCTGACAAAAGTAAAAGAATAA